AGTTTATTTTTTGGTTAATTTGAAATTACTTGTTGGAATGTGGTATGGTTGGCTAATAGTATAAGTTTAAAATATGCAACACATTTCCAATAATAGGAAACAAGAAAATTAAAGTTCTTCTCCATTCGAATCTACATTTTGGAATGAGCACCTAGCTTCACCTAGCTTCACTGACGGACTGGCTGACAGACTGTTATTTATGGATTGTAATACAATTATGGTTTAATTGAAATAAATGCTTTGACTTTGACTTTGAAAGTAAAATATTTTTGTGTCTCTAAAGAAGTTTATGGTCGTAAGTTAGGTAGGTACCGTAATGATTGTATTCTTTCATATAATTACTCATACTCCTCCTCTATCATTATTGATAGCAGACACTTGATTTATGTAAATACAAACATAAATAAATATAATAATTGATTTCTCTCCAGTTTAACTCGATGTGGACGCATCTTATCGCACAGTAACACACACACTTACAACCATTATATTAATACTCAAATAGTCATTAAGTACCTACTACAACAGTACTTACATAGAACAATACAAGTAACACGGACAAACTTAACTAAAAAATACAATTTAAACTGTCAAACACCAAGCGGTCACCGGTGACCGCAACCTATTGTTCTATAATTGTGTCTATAATGACGGTACTCGACGAGTTAAACAAAATATAATTTATATTTATAGACTGCCATCTCCATTCATGTCCCTGTTCGTTAAGCAACAAAAACACATTGTTTGCCACGTGTTACGCGTTAGGACGCCGGCTGAATGCTAAAAGGGACACTGGTTCGATTCCCGCTCGAACATCATCCTCGATACACTGTCTTTGTAAAGATTTATTTATTGCCTACATGTTCCTTTTTTTTTGTTCTTTTTCGAAAAAGGTCATGTCAAGTTAATTGTTGGGGATTTCTTTGATTTTGAGTTTTTTTTATTATTTTAGTTGGTTGATGTTTTCTTGCTGATTAGTTTACTCGTAAATTTGGATAATTAATTAGTGTACTGTATATTTACCCCCCATTCGGGATTTTTACAGCGACTCTATTTTATATTTGAGGTCGCATCAAAAGTTATTTACTATCTGAAATATTTTTTCGAAGTGGGGTGGGTTCAGGGTTGTCACTATTACTTTTAATGTACTATTCCTATTTTTAAGGTGTAAATATTTTAGTTCATAGTTATTTATATTTTAAGTTGTATATATTTTCATTTAGTAATAGTTAGTATTAATTTTATATTCAGATTAAAAACGTTATTTTACGGCACAATAATAAACTTAGTTATATTCCTAACAATTTAACAAAAAAAAAGGATTTTATTATTCAGAAATAATAAAATAAAAAATATGTTATTTTTTAATACATCATTTCAAGTGCATATCGATTAACTATAAAAATTATAATATGAACATTCATAAGTGGATACTTTCAATAAATAATTTCGTATGACTAATAAACAATTTGAATACACACTGACCACTTACGACACTTGAAACAATAATGATTTAAAACATATTGTTTTAAAGTACCACAATCGAAATTATAAAAATACTAATCTACAACGAATTCCCGCCAAATCTCATGTCACCATTAATTATGAAAATTCTAAGAAAAATATTACTTTATCTAATCACACTCGAAAAAACAATACCAAGAAGTCTGACTCACTACATATGAAACTAATTATATTTTCATATAAAAGCCGCGAGTCTATATTTAATTATATCTTAAAATAACACAAATCGACTTACCAACTTCTGGGAATGAACACAAATCCCGCACCAGAGATCTGCAACCTCACTGAAAGTCAGTACAGCCTCCAATGTACCAGTTTACAACACTAAACGTCACCAAAAGTTGAAAAACACAAGCACTTTGACACAGTCACATCAAAAGTTTAGCTCCGTACGTGAAAATTCGATTAATGTCCGACACACAGGAGACGACCGCGCGCATCGAGCTTTGCAAGATGACTGAAGACTAGCGCGCGAGTGAGCTTTCAGCGGTGCGCGTGCGCTGTAATTGGAACCGTAGGCGAAAGCGAGCGCGTACTTCTATCTCTTTCTTCCCTTCAAAGAAAACTAGCGTTGTTTTATCTCCATCCTTGTTTAACTGTATGTTGCCGCATGAAAATCGAGGAAAACGCAAGTAAACAACACGTTTGCGTCTTATTACGCAACCAGAGGTGCATTTATGATATATTTTGTTTTGTGATTAATGTATTTTCACTGTTTTCTTTGCGTTTTGTTAATGTTGGCTTATTTTCAATGATGTGGACGTTGGCGACACGGTTCAAAGTAGAACGTATCGTGTTGATTGAGAAAATCGGTCGTCTAAATGTGTTCGGATATCGTGATTGTGTCCAATTCCATAGAGAAAATGAGAATCAGTATCGCAGACTCTCATAAATAATATTAATGGTTGTCTTAAATCAGTTTTATGTGTAGGATATTTTGTTTCACTACTGTCTACTTGGCAAATGTTGAATGTAAAAATGTAGAAATGTGATGAAGGTTACTTTTTGCTGTTAGCGAGTGTCGTCTGGTCATCTGATACGTAGGTGACGTCGCTTGAAGGGATATTTGGAAAGTCCCACTGGTCTCCGTCTGTTAGAAAAACGTTAATAGTATTTCAAAGCATTTTACGTACTTATTTAGTTTAGTTTTTAGTGTAGTTTTAGTCAGTTGATTAGTTTGTTGCTAATGCCATTACAAGTATAGACAGATACACTCACATCAACGCAAATCTCAAACATATTTCAACTTTATTGCAATACCACAAGGTTGAAAGTTATTAAGAAAACTTCATTGTTGAGAGTAGCTTGACGTGCTCGTCTACAATACCAATCAAACGAATATGGCGGCTGAATATCCAACTGACACTTTATGCAAATAATAATGTTATTGCTATCTTCGATATTGTCTGCATAATCTATGATTTGAATTCAATCTATGAAGTGAATAAACAGATAAAATATACCACTTAGATATAAGAGATAGAAACATAGTTTTACATGCGGTGTTGTCTGCTTCTTTTTGTTCTAGACATTGTAAAGTACACTCTAAGCCCAAAATAATAATATTTACAATTAAAGTGATATGTAACGAACTGGACATGTATAACAAGGATTGGCCGCAAAAACTTTACATAGAGAGGAGTGGGAGGAGGGTAGGGAGGCCTTTGCCCTGGAGGGGGACGATCTTGGCTGAAAAAAAAATGAATAAAATGTAACTAGTGATAGATATAATCGACCCATTCCCTTAGTATTATAAAACAAACGAGTCAAAATGCACTCGTAAAATAAATAAAATGTTTAATTTTTGTTTTTGTCAAGCCTCATGTTTTACATACATCATGTTTTACATACAGGGCAAAGAATATAATGAACAATATTTTGCATAAATAACATACAATAATCACTTTCCACAAATAAACTTAGTTAAGTAGCAATTCCTATTACACGCTTCATCGTAAACATACGGGATTTACACAGAGAAGCGAGCAAATGGAGTCCTATAACTAAACCAACATTCAGAAACTGCAAAATAATAAACAATATGGTATCCGTAGAAATATCATTTCAAAGAGATATGTTTATAAAGTTTGTATAATACTAGCAATTACCCTAACTTTGCCCAAGTGTGTGCTCCCGACTATTACGGTTGGCTATGTAAGTGAAACAAAAAATGGTAATACACAAACTAACTTTCGCATTTCTAATGTGATTTGGAATTCGAACCACTTAAATTCAATTTGAATAAGAACAATTGGTTGATTGTGAAAGATTATTGTCCTTATTTTATTTTCGAAAAGTTGTTATTTCGTTTAACATTGCAACAAACAAACAAACAATAATCAAGCTTACTCAAACTCGGTTTTATTTTTCTGTTGAAGATAACATATCTATGATCTTGCAATGTATTATTATTGTTCATGACACAATCACTACATAGTATAAAACAAAGTCGCTATCCGCCGTCTGTCTGTCCCTATGTTTGCTTAGATCTTTACAACTACGCAACGGATTTTGATGTTGTTTTTTTAACAGATAGAGTGATTCTTAAGGAAGGTTTATATGAATAATACATACATATTGCACCCGTGTGAAGCCGGAGCGGGTCGCTAGTAACGAATATAATATTGCGAAAAAATGGCCTTGCGTAGATAGATGTGGAAGTGTCTTCAAATAATAATCAATAGATATAATAAAATTATCTACATGCAATATAAGTAAATGCATATTTAGTATGACTATTATCTTCATCCAGCCTCTTTTCTTCTTTTAGATAATTATGGTCATTTAAAGACATTCCACCACGTTAAATCTTAAGCTTCCTTTGCTATGTAGATTGCTCGATTACTGTTTTCATCAAAATCAAAATCTCCAAATACCTTTAGCCAGTAATCTACATCACTGTTGTACAGTTTACTCTAATGACTATGTTTTGTATTTGAGCACAAATATTCAAATTATTGCCAAAAAACACATAATTTTTTGTGACCATGCAAATTAGATATAACCCAACCATCAAACGAACTTAGCACTCCATTCTATCACTACTCCATACCTACATGTAAATTGTAAGAAATACATATAGTTTCACACGGAAACGAATTTCCTCCATTACTTCCAAGTTCTAGGAACATAATAATGTGTTCAAAGAAAACTTTGTCCTAGCTTCCTTGTTATAATAGAGGGATTGTGTCCCAAATTATGTCTGAAAGCGACTGCGCATGTCTGCTACTCATCCGGCTAAGTTATGAGCTGCTTAACATTATTATTATGTTAAAGAGAATAGTTAGAAATGTGACTTGGGAACTACTGAATTGGCAGCGATGAGTTTGATGGTATAGTCGGTATGTTGGCCTTGGCATTGTATTCAATACTTTTTTGAGACGTTAAAATTTTTAATTTTAACATAACATAAGACATAACATCACGCCTTTTATCCCCGAAGGGGTAGGTGCACATCACACATTACGGCACGTAATGGCAGTGTAAAGTAACACCCACTTTTCACTTTTTATGTTATGAGTATGGGACTCATAACATAAAAAGTGAATAGTGGGTTCTATGTGTGAGCTGTTATACTTGCTTCCAATAATAGGTATGGCCGATTCCCGGGTCGGGCAAACTATTACGGGGTTTTTAAATATGCTCAGTAGTAGCACGGAGTCTGGAATTGTTCCCGGTATATGGCAATAGGCTCACCTCCTATTACATGAGACTCATAAAATAATTATTGAAAAGTGGGTGTTACATTGTACAGTGGTATAATGTGCACCTCTGCCTACCCTTTCGGGGATAAAAGGCGTGATGATATTATGTAGTTTATTTATTTAGAATAAAGTGTGTCATCGCCATTTATAATTCACGAACGTGTCAACAGAATTACATTATTTTGATTAGTTGTATTTTTCTCCGGCCCGAATAACAGAATGAAATATTGAAAAATATGGTATACTATACTTATTATAAATATTTCGAAGGAAATGTATTTTTTCATGCTCCATTGATTTTGATTCGGTAAATACGAAATCTAGTGGAACATTTATAAAGTCTTGGCTTTGCATTCCCCGATTTTTTATTTACTTTTTTATGAATACAAACCACAAAGATAATAATTTATATATAGATATATTAATATAGTCACAGACAATGACGAATACATACTAAATAAATTAGGTACTTATCTTACTTGATGCAATCACTGTAGCACAAACATACGCATGCCCGCACACACATACACACTCACACACACATACCTACTTCAATGTGTACCGTACACAGGCACCTCTAAAAATCCGGAAGTATCTGTTCACCAAAAATGTAATTTTGTTTCCAAAAAAAAACAAACATTTCTTTCAAATTCCTTCCCCAATCTACTTATTTGAGCACGTGCCACGAATTTGGACCGGAAACGGATACTCGTAGATTTACGAACAAATTCGTGTCTCGACCCTGCGCGGGCGCCGATTGATTCACTATTGATTGATAGATTGATAGTATTAGTGTACACTGTAACTTTGTGACGAGGACATGTTAGACTGAGCTTATTTTTTTTTATTAGGTATGGTACGAACTCAATGATTAGTTTTTTTTTAAGGGGGGAAAATCATCGAATGTCTGCTCCCGCCTGGGTGAGGCGGGAGGGAGTATCAGACTCTTACTGACTAAAAACCACCCCGTTCCTTCTCCTGCACTTCGAGGCGGAGAGCCGCGAAACTTAATGATTAGTAGGTACATAGTAAAATACGTAATTTTCTAATTATTGGGAATTTTGTAGGATTCTCTTGTTAGTCAAGTGCATCTTAGCAAGACTGTCAGAGGAGCCAACTCAAGTTCAATTCCTAGGTAGCACGAAGTAGTAAAGCTTTAGCTAAGCAGAATTCTTTAGAGTACTTACCTACTCAAACAGCGTTAGGCATTTCTACATTTATGTCAGTCAATCAATCTGAAACTGTAATCAATCAAAATGGGTAGCCTTTTATACAGTACTTACGTCACCAAGAAGAAGGAAACCGAAGAAATAACATCACTACTGCGTTTAAATATAGCGCAAACCAATACGAAAGTGCATACATTTTCCAATTCATTCACTCTTCATTCGTACACTTAAACAAACCGTTCTTTTAATAGCTCCCATTCATATCGATTCACAATCGATTTATAGTATCGATACATCGATTCCCATTAGAACTTCCGATTAATTTCGATATGTTTCCCAATCGGTTGGAAAGGATTACGATTGTTATTTTTGACCCAATGCTTCATGTAGTTATCTAGAAAATTATTAATGAGTTATGGAAGAATTATATAGTAGGTGTTATACAGATTTTCGAAAAATAAAACAAAACGTTTTACACGAGGAAACCAATTAATCACAAACGAGTTTTTAAAGTATAGCTGTCATTGTTTAACGGATAAAATTCATAAACATTTGGTCAGTAGCCGCCATATTTAGGTATTAAAGAGAAGTTAAATTAGATTGTCTCA